CTCAGAGTAAAAAGATGACAGCCCTAAGTTTTAGAATGTTTTTACTGAAGATACATACAAAGATATAAATTGCATATTAGTCGGATAAATGCTGTTCTTAGAGATACATTGTTGTTTCAGCACAGAGTAGAGCATCAAATAGTCTGTGAAAGCTGGAAGCTTGACTCAGATGACTTTAGTAAGAATTATTATGAGCTCCTTTGCATCTTGAGTTAATAAAGTTTATGTATATACATGTTTCAGAAAAAAATTATCCTTAATTTAACATAGTCACCTTTACAAATCATTCATTTAGTTCTTTGTGATATGTTGTTTGTAAATGATGACCAATTTTATGTATCTACGACATTCTTTTTCTGTAACTAAAACTTTTAGAACTCAGGATAAATTGGATCAAAACATTTCTTTTGTTCCAAGAACCTAATGATAGTTTATTTGTTGAAAGTTCTGCTTCATAAGAGCCTCTGATATTTATTTAAAATATACAAAGAGTAGTTGAGATCTTGTCATATTTATAGATGTATTATTTTTTAAATAAAAGTCATCGTTCCTCTCAGAGATTGAAGAATTTTCAATGCTATTGTTCACAATATTTCATCAAGCTGTAGTTTGGTGTAATAATTACACAATTCTTGGAGTAAATTTTTAACACTTTCCAGTCTTTCCAGATCAAGCTGAGTGTTAGAGTGAAAAGTTGACTAGTGTGTGTTGGTATAAATTTTAGAATGTGAAAAGCATGAGATCATTTTGGAGAGTGTCAAGAGCAGAATTCCCAAAGAGAAATTCTCCTAATATCTTACAGCTGAAATGTTTCCACTAAATTCAATACATGCTTTTTTTTAAAAAAATTAACCATTATAAACATCTCTGAGATGTACAGATGTACTCATTTTATCTTCTGTTCAAACGTGCTAGAAAAAGAATAGCATGGCTTCTAGCCTCCTTCTTTCTTTTCCCAAGGGTTTAGCAATACTTTTATAAAGTAAATCTAGCTTGAATATAGCCTAGAGCAGGAATGTTTTTTCCTATTTCAATGGAGAAAATTCCTGTGTGCCCTTAGCATTGTTTTGATTGTATACCATAGTAAAATGAGTGTGAGTGGATCTGAAGAAGTCAGATGCATTGGTAATTGCATTTTTTAAAAAAGATTCTATTTTTAAATTTATTTTTAGAGATGGGGGAAGGGAGGGAGAACGAGAGGGAGAAAAACATCAGTGTGTGGTTGCCTCTCATGCGCCCCTTACTGGGGATCTTGCCTCCAACCCAGGCACTTGCCCTCACTGGGAATTGAACCAGTGACACTTTGGTTCGCAAGCTGGCACTCAGTCTATTGAGCCACACCAGCCAGGGCAGTAGTTGCATTTTTTCTTCGCCAAAATAGTAATTGCCCTACTAGACTTAATCATGAATGCTTAAGTGTATGTGAGACTGTTAGCTGTCATCAACAGTTTATCCTGACTTGAATGAATGGTGATGAATATCCAAAAAAGGAGGACTAGTACCTAGAAATCAGTTTCACTGTTGAATTTAACTTCTGATATTTTCCTTTGGGATAAATTAATTTCTGAATTTTTTGAATTCCAAAGGGAAAGAAGGAAATTAGGGTTGATTATAGACTTCAGAGGATTAGCATTTTGACATACTATTTTATTAAGGATTTTGAACTCCAGCAGCTGTTAAGAATCTTTAAAATATAATGCTGACAGTTAAGTGCATTTTAAAAATCATAATTTAAAAATTATCAATTTTAATTTATGAATTAATTTTATTGTAAATTTATTCTTGGTGAGAAAAAGCAATGCTTTTCAAGAGTTCAAAGACTGTCAGAATTAAAAGTTTACTTCTTACATAAAATCAAAACCAGAAATTATAAAAGAAAAAGTTAATATTGTTACATTAAAATCTTTTTCTATTTAAAAGCTGCTATAAACTATGATAGAAGAAAAATGACAGACTTGGAAATATATTTGAAACATACACAGCAGGCAAAAGATTATGTAAACTCTTAAAATGGATTAGGAAAATGGTTAAATGTCCCAATAACAAAATGGGCAAAGAATAAGAACAACTAAGTCACAGAGGAAGGAATACAAAGTGCCAGTAGATGTGTGAAGAAATATTCAGCCTCACTTGCAATCAAAGAAATGCCAGAAAGAGGGGGGGAGGAAGGGAGGAGAAAACACCTAATGTTGTCAAAGGTATAGGGAAATGGTCACTCCCAGACACTGTTTGGTGGAAGTTTAAATCTGTACAGACCCCCTTTCGATATAATTTGTAATATGTATCAAAATTATAGCTGCCTACCCTCCAGTCAAGTGGTTGTGCCTATGAAAATTGATTCCCAGGAAAAATTTGGATACATGTGCAAAGATATACATATGAAGGTGCCTGTAACAATAGTGATAAATGAGAACCAACATAAATATTATTAATGGTTATAAATAAATTATTTTATAATTAAATGGAATTCTATGGAGGCATCTTACCCATATTTTTTGTTGTAAAATATGCCTTACATTTACATATCATCTTCAATTTCCCATCTTTAACATCTTTCAAGCATACTGTTAGTTCACTGGCATCAGGTCCATTCATATTGTTGTGCAACCATCACTACCATCAAACTCCAGAACTCTTCATCCTGTAACATTGAATCTCTATACAAATTAAACAATTACTCCCCATTTTCAGCTCCTGGCAACCACTGTCCTACTTTTTGTCTTTATAAATTTGACTGTTATAGATAATTCGTATGAGTGGAATCATATAATATTTGCCTTTTGTGACTGGCTTATTTCATTTAGTGTAATATCCTCAAGGTTCATCCATATTGTAGTATGTATCAGAGTTTCATTCCTTCTTAAGGAAGATTAGGAGAAGGAAAGATAGGAAGTGACTGTCTGCTAATGGGTTCTGAATTTCTCTTAGGAATGATGAAAAGTGTTCTAGAATTAGACAGTAGGAACTGATGTACAACTTTTAATATGCTGAAAACCATAGGTGAAAAAACAGGTGAACTATATGGCATATGAATTATATCTCAATAAAGCTGTTTTTTAAAAATTTCAATGTCAGCCATACCTCAGTTAAAAATTTTCAAGAGGAATAGAATACATATAATACAGCCTTCTTAAAATTTGTCCTTCAGTCATTCCAGATTATTTTAAAAAAATAATCATTAATTGTAATTATTGCTTATATAACTTTCTAGAAGTATTTTTTATTTCTAGTGACTATTTCAAAATTTACAATAAATAGTAATTATAGTTCTTTAAAAAGAAAACAAAAGTGGTAGCAGATTGAACACGGTGTTTCCACCTATCAGAAATCTTTGAAGTCTGTTTTTTTAATTTTTGGTAAAAGCTTTTTTTTTTTAATTACAAAATGTTTATATGCTTACTGTAGGAGAGTTAGACAGTATAAAAGAGTATGAAAAAACGTGAAAGTTACCCATACTCAGAGGTGTCATTGGTAATTGTTTATATCCTTTTAGATTTTTCTCTGCATGTATATATTCTTTTAAATATCAGGATTGAGATCTTTCTATACTTGCTAATACATACCCTACTTTTTTACACTTAAAATATATTGTGGCCATAGTTTTCATTAGTAAATATAAATTTGTATTGCTATTTTTTAATTGATATATGGTATTAAATTGTGTGGATGTTCCTCATTTACTTGTCACCTATTAATATCCATTTAGATTTTTAAAAATTTTATCACTATTATAAACAACAGTGATGATCTCTGCACATACATCTCATACACTTGGCAAATAATTTCTTTGAGATAATTACTATAACTGCCCTTTTGCAGTATGCCAAAATAAGTAAGGTATGTTTTAAAACATACAATACAAAGATTTTCATGATATTATTAACTCTGTGAAAATATGGTACAGGTATTTATATCCTCATTTTAAATATGAGGAATCTGAAACCCAGAAAATTGGCAATGTGTCCCAAATTACGTAGGTAGTTACTATGAGACCTGGAACTAAAATTTACATCTTTTGATTATGGGTTGGTATTCTTTCTACTGTGGCAGTGCTAGGCCTTGATACCTTAAATACAAAGAGGGATCTTTTATTGTTGCTTCTTCCTTTCTAAACATAAGATTGTTGATGTTACATATTTTAGATTCTTTGTATAATGTGCTGGAATTTATTTATTGAGATTAAAGGTTCATATACGTTCATTAGGGGTATAGGCTAAAGATGTGCCCTCTCAAATATTTTAATAGTTTAACTGCACATCTTCATTTAATTACACTCCGGTATTGTTGTGTTCCCTGTATAAAGAGCTTACATAGGCAGAGCCTTTTTTAAAGCTTCAGATTATTAACTCTGGTAATCTTTGTTTCAGTGGTCTGAGAAAATTGCTTTGTTTTAAATCTAAGATGTACCACTTACTGTGTGATGTTGGCCAAGTTATTTAGATCCCTGTAAGCCTAGTGCCATCATCAATAAAATTGAAATAATAGTGTATGTCTCAAAATGAGGATTAAAGGAATTAACACATAAAAAGTGTTTGGCACAATCTGGTATGTAGAAACTACTCATTAAATGCTAGTGGTTATTATTTAAGGTGTAAATTTAATGGTAAATTATTAAAAGTCATTTTTTTGATAAAATTTTTTTTGTGTGATATTTTTATATTCCTGTGGATCTCCCATGTCTCTCTCTCCCCTCCCCTCAGTTTTATGTAATAATACTTATTTTGAACAGTGTCTTTATTTTTGTCATGGCTTATATAAAATGAGGAGCTGCCATACATGTTTCCTTTTGGGGATAAACATAAGTTAAATTACTGATATTTTACAGATTATTGCAATCATTTTTTAAAAGACAATGTAAAACAGAATAACGTGAACTCTGATTGGCTAAATGCAGGGTTCTGAGAAACCTGATAATTGCTTTTGGGTTCCCCAATCTACCCTGTTTCTGATGCTTGAGGAGGAAAGCTGATTTGGGATTTTGCTTTTTGTCTCGGTCCTAGCACATGCAGATGACAATCCAGGCTCTCCAAGATGAATTACGGATCCAGAGGGACCTGAATCAGCTATTTCAGCAAGATAGCAGCAGTCGGACTGGTGAACCTTGTGTGGCAGAGCTAACAGAAGAGAACTTCCAGAGGCTACATGCTGAACATGAAAGACAGGCCAAAGAGCTATTCCTTCTTCGAAAGACTCTGGAGGAAATGGAACTGCGCATTGAGACTCAGAAGCAAACCCTGAATGCTCGCGATGAATCCATCAAGAAACTTCTGGAGATGTTGCAGAGCAAAGGACTTTCTGCTAAGGCTACTGAGGAAGACCATGAGCGAACAAGACGACTGGCAGAAGCAGAGATGCATGTCCACCACCTAGAAAGCCTTTTGGAGCAGAAGGAAAAAGAGAACAGTATGTTGAGAGAGGTGAGTACCATTTTTTTCAATTGTTATAACTAACTGGCTTTTTATCCATGATTAGTCAGCATCTTGGCCTAGATAAATTTATAGTCTCTACTGAGCTAGTGAAAGGGAATTTTTTCTTTGGTACATAAGTGTTTTGCTGCTTTGTATTCTGATTTGTTCTCTTGTATGAGATGACATTGACTCGTATATGTATACTGGCTTGATGACTTTCTCGGTCCTTTCTTTCTCTTCCTGGTTTTTTAGACTCATTTTGTTGCTAGAGGGGCACAGAATTTTCTTTGTTTGCTACTTATCTTCTGATGTGTTCAGAGATGCACACAACAAAACTAGAATCAGAGTAGCTAACTATTGCTCAATTTTAAAATATAAATTAGAGAAAATGAGTGGTAACTTCAGTTTCGGTGTGCCTATAAAGCTCTTGGCAGCAGTAATGGATGCTTGCCTTGTGGCTTCATGGAAGTTGCCTTGCTGTAAAATATATGAGGTAAAAAGTCATTTGCTGCCATGGAGGTTCAATGAGAAAGAATGCTGTATAGGCACAATGTCACTTATTTTTTAGAGAGTAAACTCAGATTTCAGCTGACCATTGTGAGTATTGTAAAAAAAAGTAATTTTTTACTTTTCTAGATAATGCTTCATTTTAAAAAAAGCATAAGTGAAGAACTCACCTTCCACTGAATTTAAAAAGTTGATAGCTGTAATTCTCTTTGTGTGGTCAGAGTCTGCAGGTAACGTTAGGATTTGGATAGGGAAGAGAACAACCTAGAACTGTATTAGTGCCAGTGTGAGTGATTCCTTTTTAAATGAAATTTGATGAAGGAGGTTGAAAAACAGGAGTATTCACCAAATAGCAAAATAGCAACTTTAAAAGAATACTTTTAAATTTACAGTTCGTTCCATAATTTCTCCTTTTGCAAAAAAGTCTGAAATATTCACTGTGAAAACATTTTTATTTTTGAAAGAGAAATTCACTGTTTTTTAAAAATAATTTTTTACACAGTAAATCCGTTGTAGTTTATTACAGTAAAATTAGAAAATAGATGAGCAAAAACTTAAACCAAAGTATTATTACCTCCTGATAACTGTCAGTTTTCATTATGTATATGTTTGCAGTCATTTTTGTTGTATATATATTCTTTCATTAATTCTATATTTTCCTTGAAAAGATTGAAAACTATTTATCAGTATTGTCTAATATAACTTTCTGTGATAATAGAAATGTATATGGGCTCTGTCCACTACAGCAGCCACTAGCCACATGTGACTATTTAGCAGTTAAAATGTGTCTGGGGTGACCGAGGAACTGACCTTTAAATTTTATTTAAATATAAGTAATTTAACACTAAATTTAATTAATCAAATTTCAGTTTAAGCATGTACCTGCAGTTAGTGGCTCCTGTATTAGTGCAGCTATGCGTAATGTAATATTACCTGCTTTTCTTGGTAATTTATCTTGACCATCTTTCTTTGTCACTATATTAGAGTTTATAATTTCAGATGCGTGTATAATGTTCCATTGCATTTATTTGAATATCTCTTACTGTTGAAAATTTAGATCACTATTAATTTTTCAGCATTATAAACAGTGCTGCATTGACCTTAATTATATATCCCTGAACATCATTTTTAAAGGATAAATTCCTGTAAATAAATGTTTTCAAAGAGTGTTAGTATTTTTGAAACTTTGAATAATCTTGTCTTTTAGAGTGATTGGACCAGTTCATCCTCCCAACAGCATATACTATACTCTTATAATTAATCTTTAGCAGTGTATTTGTTATGCTCTTCAAATTACCACATCATTCTGTTTCAGAAAATTTTCTGTCAACTTATATGTTATAGGCACATTCTGAATTTCTTTCACTTTACTTTAAAAATTTTATATTTTAATGAGATAAGTCAGAGTCTGGCCATATAACATTGTTAGAGAAGTTATAATAATTTCAAATAGCATGTATCATGAAAACTATACCATCATCATGATGGATTTTGAATGTTACATTTTTACAGCATCTCTTCTGAATATTTCAACCTGTACCCATTTATTTTTGAGTTTTGGGGCTAATAAATAGTGAATAGTTAAGTATTGTGAAAAGCTACTGTGTTATTCTGGCAGAGAACAATCAATGTGGTAAATTTGAATAAGTGGTAGAAAAACCATGAATTTAAATCGGACTGGTTATTTGAAGATTGATTTTCAAATAACAAGCTCTACAAATACCAAGTCCCACTTACGTACATAATGTGGAAAGAAATATAGGTCTTGTCAGTCATACCAACACTCAATTCCAGTTGCCATTAGTAATATATACCATCTTATAGGAAACAGTCATACAAATTAAAATTATTTAAGAGCAAGTGAAGATGATTGCTTCAGAAACAAATGTTTAGAAAGCTTGTTCTTTTGTTTCTCCCACTACCTTTAAGATTTAGCTCAAATTTAGATTCTGTGAAGTCTTCCTCGTGCAGCTTCATACACATATATAGATGAAACAATCATGTTATAGTATATTTACATATGTTTCTTCATTGTTCACATAATTTTATTTTTTTGCATCAGGAGTTTTTGTCTTTTAATCTTTATATTGACAGTGTCTAAAAGTGTGTACTCAAGAAATGTTAGTTGAGTAAGTTGAAATCTAGGCAAAGAAGTTTATACCTGGAGCTTACAGGAAGGATAGCATGTCCAGTTTTTCACCCCTGCATATTAAAATCTGATGAAAGGCAGAAAGCAAACTAAATCCCCAAACCAGTTTTGCTTATGAGTTAAGATATAGAAATTACAAATAAAATATTAGCAGAGGGAGTCAACATTATGATAAAAGGATACTACTCTGACCAAAAGGAATTTATTCCGGGAATGCCACAATGGCTCAATATATTACACACAGTTATAAAAAGAGAACCTTGTGGGATTTGATGGCTGTCTCAAAGACATTAGACAAAGCTTGCAGACATTTTGATTGTAAACTAAACCAATGAACTAAAAATATGAACCAAATGATACTTTTACAACATGATCTAAGTAAATAACACAATAAATACATACTGTAAACACATTTCAAATTAAGAACCAACATCATGCATACTGTGGCATAGTAGACATACCCATTAAAGTCAGGAAGAGGTCAAAGATGGTTGTATTCATCAGTACTTAACATTATTCTGGAAGTGTTAGGCAGTGCAATTAGAATTAGGAAATGGAATAAATAATATCAGTAATTATAACAGAAAGGACAGGTCTAAATTTTCATTGCAGTGTAGACCGTACATTAATGTAAAGATGCCACTTTCCCCCAAGTCTGTAAATTCAATGTAACCCCAAAGGGAATATTCCTGAAACATGCCCAAGTGATGTTGCAGTTTATTTATAAGAACAATGCAGGAATATTTGATTAAGCATATCTTGAAACTGTATATATATTTTAAACCCAATGAAACTGGCACAGCAATGGATACATCAATAGAACAGAATTCAGTAATAATATGGTTTTAAGTATATGATGAATGTTTTGGAATAATGGCCATCCATTTGGAAAACAGTTACATAGTTATATTAGATTAAATTCCAGATGCAATAAAGAACTACATTTAAGAAATAAAAGCAGTGGAAGAAAATGTAAGTAAAAAGCTTTTAATATAATCTTGAGATAGGAGAGGCTCTTTTATTGCCATCACAAGAACCTTAAAGAATTAAATTTGTCAGAAAATAAAATTAACAAAAGTTGAAATCATAATTTGGGGTAAAGCTTAGTAACAGGTGACTAGACTAATATAAAAAGATTGTTTCCAAAACAGATAGGTGCCACAGACTTGGTATCACCTTTCCTTTCTCACTTATTCAACAAATATCTATTGAGCCTTTAATATACAATATATTTAATTCTGGAATAGGGACCATTTATACATTTTTCATGCCAGAACACATGGTTTGTGCCCTCCTAGAACTTAAACATTTAATGGGAGACAGTAAACTGATAATTATGAGATAAAATAAACAAATTGAGTGGAATCTAATTATTTTGGGGAAGGGGATTTCTCTAAACACGGTAAGCATCTTTGAGGAGGTGCCCTTTAAGGGAGATCTGAAAAAAGACAAGGAGACAGTCTTGCCGAGCTATGGGGTAAAATCATTTCATAAAGAAGGGTTAGTAATTTCAAAGGGGTGATGGGAAATAATTTTGAGCAAAGAGCAAGGAGGCTAGAGAGCAGAAGTATATTGCCCTAGGGGAACGCTGGCATGAGATGAGAGTTTGAAGAGGTACCCAGGGCCAGATTCATTCATCGCATTCATCAGATATTTATTGGGCACTAACCATGTGCAAAACATTAGAGAGATAACAGTGAATAAAAGAAAATACCTGCCCTCTAGGAGACAGAGCACTTGCCTTCATGATACTTGCAGATGATGCAACAATTTTATTCAAAGTACAGGAGAAAACCATCCCAGTGTTTAATTAGAGTAGTGATAAGATCTCATTTAGCTTTTGAAATTTACTTGGTTGTGTTGCAAATAAATGGGAAAGGGATAGTCAAGTAAATAAGGAAGTCTAGTAAAAAACCTAATAGCTCTAATCTAGGTTAGGTGAATGGTGACTTGGAATGACTGTTGTACATTATATCACTAGCGTTTCATGAAGGGCGAAAAGAATTTAATGAATTGGCAGTGCCAGGATATCAGAGGTCTTATTAGTTATTGGATCATTGTCCATCTTTTAAAAATGTGTGTTTCATCACTTCTAAGACTCAGAGTTTCTCCCATTTTAACAATGCGAAATTGAGTTAAGTCTTACTCTTGGTAGCACTTTACAGTCTTTGCCAGCAATGTTGCACTCCTCCTAAATTTGATTGCCTCTGCATTCACAAACATAATCATAGCTGTCCATTTTGTTATCACTTTAGTTGATGGTGCGAGCATCATGGTATTTATTGTTGACTTTTAATTTGTTGTTGAGCATGTCTTTAGAACGTTACACTGTGAATCAACATTTAAAGAAAAA